TCCAAGACATGAAATTCATTAGAAAGCGTTGAGAAAAAAAAAAGAATATGATGTGTGACTAAAATACAACGTCCGTACGCCTTTGTAGTCCGAAACGAACTGGCACGGTGCCGTGAATGTGGATGTGTACGCGTGAACGCCGCGCGAAGGGTGCGTGAACCCTTTGTCGCGGGACAAAATACCGACTCTGATCGGGGAACAGGCACGAACGCGCGTGAATCCCGCGAAAACCATCCACATTCACGTTCACGCCTGTTCACGGAGCTTCACGGCGATAATGTGGAGCCGCGGTTAGCGACATAATAACAATTACACGTTTAATTAGAGTTCCAAGGACGCGCTTCCACCAGAGATGTGCGAAAAGCTGAGTGCAGTGAAGGCGCGTAGCGGAGATGTGAAAGTGTGACTCTTTCCACTAAAGCTGTACGAGAAAATTAAACGCAAATTGCAGTGGCTATTTTCCCATTGCTGCCGTATGATCAGCAATGGGAAAAATGGTGTGAGGGCAGAATTGCCCTCACACCACCTTGCATACATTCCTTTCCCGTGTCCCTCGCACACATCTCTTACTTGTTTGAGTGCGTAAAGATCTTACTACGCTAAGCTCTTTTCCAAGAGAGCTGCGCTGAGCGAGCTAGGAAAATGAAGTAATCATTGGTGAATTTTTTCTTCACGCACCGCATAGTTATCTGGCACAGCTCTAGAAGAACGCAGCCATATTCAGACTAAATTATTATTATTATTTTAAGTCCTGGTCCTAAGTATATAAATATATAGCAAATTCAACAAAAGTTAAAAATACTGGGTTAAACATTTGTGTTATAAATGACTCCATAATTTTCTTGATTAATATATTTTATTTTTAAGAAGAGCTTACCTGAATTTTAATGCATTTTGAATTTTGTAGTTTAATGGCTGACCAATGATGGTGTTATCATAACATCTATAAATCATTTTCCTCATCATAACATCCTATCAAAAGCTCACAGCCGAATATAGGCCCTTCCAAGATTGTCTTATGAGATTCCCCTTACCATATAATATATATTTATAACAGTTACCACGCTTTACAGACAGGTTGGCAATCTGCTTTATTATTTTGAGTTACTCTTATATAATCCAAATAAATCAGGGGTTTTAAATATTTATTTATTATATTTTATACTTCCGTTGGCACTCCAATCAACGATGAACTTACTTTTACCTTAAATTCTGGTCCCCGTAAACGGTCTAGATATTTTACACGACAAAGGATCTTATCTAGTATTATATGTGACTATTCTAGCATTTTTGTATCGTTGTTTACACTAAAGTAGATGTGTAGTCTGTGGTCGCTAACTTGTACCCGGGGTACCCATGTAGAGTGTGAGTTAAGGATATTGCAATATATTCTTGATACTTGAATACAAAAAAAACTGTATTGATCAGTTTTATTCAAGCGGGCAAAAAATGGCTTCATATATTATATGATTAAAGCTTTTTCAATATTTTTCCTTAGATATTATACCAAAAAAAGAAACAAAAACTTTTTTATTCAAAATTGATTATAAATAATACTTATTGGAAGTAACTCTTAAGTAAATGAGACGAAACGGAAGGTAAAAGTTGCCACTGCACATGTATACCGCGTACTGGTCTAGTGTAGTAGAGACGGGGCGGGTATGCCAGGGAGTCCGTACCATCATTTCAGAGAGAATAGGTTAACGTGTGAAAGTGGGCTTAAAAAAGTTGTTTGTTCTGAGGGTCTACGCCCCAGATATGTCTAAGCCCATTTATATTCGAAAGCAGTTTTGGGAAATGGTAAGGATGGTGTTATTGAAACTTAAGGGGATACCTTGAAAATGAATCGAAGTTTTGGGGGCGTGGCTTATTCCTTTGTCGGTGAAGCTAATGGACGACTGCAGGAGTGTCAAAATGAAAGTAATGCAATGACTTCATAGTACGCAAATTATGAGATAGCCGTACCGAACAAGCGCTCGGAAAAAAACTACGTAAGCGCCAAACAACATTTTTATTTATTTTAACAAAACTTCGTTATGAATTAAAGAACTGACTTATGAGAACTTAGATATGATTATTTACTATGCCTTAAAAATAATTCCATGAAATTATTCGTAAGAATATAGTGGTATCATCGAGAAATGTAAATAATTAGAGCCTACTTTGCAATTTTTTTCTATCGAGAAAATTACATGATATCGTGTTTTCCTTTTATGCAATCCAAGATCATATAGTTAAAAATCATATACCAAAATTTTCATCTGTAATTTATGAAACTTAAAAAAATATGTTAAATAGAAAAACCACCAAATTTTCGAGGTATCACCTTAAGGGAAATGAAAATATTGTTATGTTAGGAGATTTTAATGGAAGGGTTAGGGTGAAGAGGCTGGTTATGAAAGGATATTGGGAACGTTTGGTGATGAAAGTATAAATGATAAAGGTGAAAGCCTCCTCACCGTATGTGTGGAAAAGAATCTTTTTGTGACGAACACTTTCTTTCGCCATAAGAAGATTCACATGTATACATGGAAAAGAGGTGACGATAGAAGCATTACAGATACCATAATTGTGGATAAAAGAATGAAGTGTGTAGTGATAGATACAAGGGTTTACCGGTGTTTCAACATAGGGACGGATCATTAATTGATCTTATGCCGAATTAATAGTCTATTTAGACGTTGGCGGCGTCGGACCTCTGTGTCTACCACTGCGTTACAGCGTATAAGAACAGTGAGGTTGAAAGAAAAAAGGCAGTCTTTAGACATCCAAATAAGAGAGTAAAAGACGATAATTTAGCTACAGCGTAGCTCTATCACGTAAATACGAACTTAATTATTCCAATAAGTCATATATAACACCTTGTTACGTTTTGTTATATTAAATTAGTTTGTGTAGGCATCCTACGATAATTTTATCATTGAAATCATTAAGAAATTTGATTATAGGATTTTTTCCTGTATAGTGGAGGCGTTAACATACGTAAATTGCATACGGAGACAAATCCAGACACGAAAGTCCCGAAACGATAATTTTAGGTCATACAAACATTTTCTCCGTGCGGAACGATCTCATGACTTCCTATGAAGCCAGTCACCTACTGAACGTTTAACAGTGAAGGATATTTACATAATTAAAGTATTTTTTGTTTCCATTGCGTAAAGGTCTGAGACACGGCCTTTAAATGTATTTTATATTTTTTATTTTGACGCTAAATAAAGATATAAATTGTTTTAATGACGCATAAGAGAAATTTCCACACTCCTGTTCAAGGAATGTTATGGCATAACAAATTAAGTTCAATAATAGACTGTAAGTACCAACAGCAATTAACTGTCACATAAAAAAAGTCTTAAGTAACATGAAACCATAGAGAACCGCAGCACGGCAGATGCCAATCGCGCGGACGTTGTCCGCCCGCCATCTTTTTTCTTTGCTCGTCGTAGTTTTTGCTTTTTTAATGGGTCTAGCTATTTATGAGGTGAAAGTAAAAATTGAATTATGAAATTTGGAACACCTAATTGATCACTTAATTCTACCAAGATATTTACATAATTTCGATGCGATTAGAAGCGACATGGGAAAAGCTAGAAATACCTAACAATTTCCTATATATGGCGGCATAATCACTTCGTTTACTCCAGATGTAAAATAAACAGATTGGCAACAAGGAAGTGTCAAAGATCCGAGAAATCTGGCACTGCCATCGCCAACCCGTCTGCCAAACGTGTCGATCATGGCAAAAAATCGGTTGTCAGTTTTACAAATTAATGAAGAGGAACGTTTTTGGGTAAAAAAATATAAAATCATGTCTAGCGTATAAGTAAACAATAAAGATCACTTCTTTATTGTTTAATAGTAAGTTTAAAAAATAGAAGGAAATGGAAGAAAACAAAGTCTAAATTTACTTATGTTTTTCCTTGCTTTACAGAAAAAAGTTAGGTTGTTGTATATTTATGAATTTAACTTAAAATTACAGTTAACTTTGACCAATATCTTTGCCACTTTACTTTTTAATTTTTAGCCATTGCCTACGGACGTAATATAATCGTTAAAAGTATTTAATTACACGGATAATTTGCACGGCCAAATGCCCTTTTATGATTCGTTTAAACTGAAAGGAATTTGTTCTTGCCTCTCTTGTAGTCTGACGATGAATTTTGTGTCAAATACCGCCAATTATTTGCTCGAATAATTCTATTTAAATTAGATTTTGGGTGTTGGCAGCGAACGGATTTCCGATCGCCTGGTGTTGCCTGGTGAAAATATGACAATTAAAATTATTTATGTCATAATAGACCATGTTGCGCCGTATTTTGACATTTATACCGTTACCGTTACAACCTACTAAAGCCCACTGCTGAACATAGGCCTACACCACAATTGCCTTATAGGGGGGGATAATTGCCATAGTTGCCCCTTGGCAAGCGGGTTAGCAACCGCAGCTTTTGTATTTTTAGTCGTTTTCAGGAAGATGCTGCTGCCCATCTCCTGGTTTGTTCCCCTCTGTCGCCTCATACGACACCCACGGGATGATATGAGGTAGTGGATATTCTCACATCGCCACTACACGGTACGAATTTTATAATATACACGTTTTCGAAGGTCATCATCATTATTACAGCCCTTCATGAATCACGTGAATACGAAGAAACGCACAAAGCACGGTGAGCCAGCTGCATCCATCGACTATATATACCTAGCTACATAGCTCGAGGAACCGATAACCGATGGGGAAGAAAGATTTTCGAGTGGCAACCTCGTACCGGTATGCGAAATGAAGGGTGGCCTTCCACTAGATTAGAGTGACGAGTGACGACCTGGTAAGATATGCAGGAAATCAAAGATTAACACTTGTCTGATTCGAATTTGATTTTAGCGAGAAATTGAGATGGAGAAGTCATGGAAAAAACCTTTTTTGCAGTTGTGCTAGTGTAGCTGCGTGCTATTCATAAACATGCACACAACACTTATTTTAAATGTGAAAACTTGGTACTTACTTGCCGTCTTTAATCCTCTGTTTGTTATGACTGTCGTGAAAGTTCAAAAGTTCTTCTATAAGTCCTTCTCGCAACATCGAGTCTACACGGTTGTTGAGGCGTTCGTCGTGGATCGTCTGGAATATAGAGCGTTTAGTTATTTTAAATAAAGAAAATCTCATCGGATATATTTTGATTGTAAGATGGGCTATTTTAAAATAAGAAATTTAAAAATGTACCAGTTGTAAATCAGCATAATTCATACGTGGTAGAGCCAGGCTGCAGCTATATTACTGGTATAGTTGTACCACGTAAAATAGCAGCTTAACGCTGCTGTGTTTCGTATGGTGAGTGTAGAGAACCGAAGACACTTTTCACCGAAAACGAGGCATCCCATCTTAGTCCTCACGGGTGACAACGCATCTGTATTTTGATTCGTAATCGAGGATAGATGTAGATGTCTATGGGCCGCAGCAACCACTTACCATAGGGTGGACTATGTGCTCGTTTGTCACCCTTATACCAATAAAAAAAATCAGCGGTGAAACATTCCATGTTAATAGTACCTACGAGCTGAGTGGTTTTCTTTTTGATGCATGATAATCTTTTCTACTCTAATTTATAGTATTTAAATTTTTGAAGTAAAAGGGAAAACGCGAAGCTACAGTGTTTATATATCCCACAGCTGTGCCCTGGCTTCCTCTCATTTCTGAAAGGGTTTTATAACAAGGAAATGTCTGCTATGCTGCCCCAGAGCATTTTGACATGTAAACTTCTTCACCATGTTTTCCTTCGCCGCCGACGTAGTAAATCACCACTTAAAATTGCAATTAACAATTTTATTGGTGCCGGAGGGGTTCGTACACGAGCTGCTCGTATATTCTGAAATTTACGGCGTTTGCTTAGCCCCTGAGCTATCGTGTGTAATTTTTTTTAGTTTAATAAAGTAATAATTTATATATCTACATATAAAACAAGATAATGTTATTTCCCTCCTTTCTTCCAAAAAAATTAAAAACTGATAATTTTTATTATAGAATAAGGGTGACAAACTAGCACACAGTTCACCTGATGGTAAGTGGATGCTGAGGCCCGTGAGGCTGAGGCCGATATCTACATTTATCCTCAATTAAGAAAAACATGCTGTCACCCCATAAGATGGAATACCACGGTCCCAGTAAAAAAGGGTCTCCGGATATCTACACTCACCAAACGAAACACAGCAGTATTAAACTGCTATTTTACGCTGGTTTTCTGTGAGAGCGTAGTCATTCCCCGGTCGAGCCGACCCATTTGTGTTACAACCATAATATGGCTGCAGCGTAGCTCTACCACGTATGAAACCATGTACGCAATCAGGTTCACCATTAAAGGGAACGCCAAATGCGTGCGCGTGATGTGTGCGGCGCGTGTACGTTACGGCACTAGTTTAATATTAAATAATATTACGAAACTCCTGTCGCAATGCACTCGTCACGCGGAAGTGTTGCGCACGTATTTGATATATTCTATCTTTTACAGGTACGACAACATGGAATTGAAAAGTATGATGACATAAAATGCACAAATTTAATTTTTTTATAGTATAAAGTGACCAACGAGCACACAGAACATCTGACGTTAAGTGAATACCGTGGTCTTTAGACATCTACATCTATCTTCGATAAAGAACCGAAATGCATATGCGTTGTCACCACTGAAGACTAAGATGGAATGTCTCGTTTCCAGTAAAAAAGGTCACCGGTTCTCTACACTCACCATACAAAACACACAACATGAAGCTGCTATTTTACTCTGGTGTTCTTTGAGGGTGTGGTTCTTTCCCCGATGTAGCTGACCAAATCGTGCCACAACTATAATATAGCTGCAGCATGTTTTGGCAGGTTAAAACAGTGCGTGGTTTGTGCATTTAAATCAGGGAAATCACACAGTTAAATACCTAAATTTCAATTAAAACAAAAGCACTTAAGCAAGTCTGCAACTGCCTTCAAGTATGTCTACAGTTAGCAACGCTTTCCCTGTTCATTAAGCCATGAGGAACTTTTGCGACGGCGACTTTCGGTTGAGAGTTACGTATGGTAAAACTCGGAGATTCGTCTAATATATTACTTTTTTCAAGTATCACAAATTTAAGGCCGAATTTTCTTTGTAACACTACAAAAAAATTAACACAAGAAAAAACAGAGAGAAAAACAAAACGCGGTTTTATTGCTATACAGGAATTTCTACCAGACAACTTAAAAATGAAAAGATGCGATAAGTTAATTAATGGGTAGAGTGCAGTATAATTAATATTATAATCTATAATATAAATTAATAAAGGTGTTGAAATTTACTTGACAGACTAGTGATCATAAAGCGACAGGAAGAGATGAAAGTAGTGGATAAATTAAAGGGAAAGGTAATTTATTTATTTATTTACGAGTTTTATTAATAAATTAATACAATAAAACGGATAACAATCAAAATACATTAAAAAATTGTGTGTATATGTATAACAGTTTTGTGTCAGATGTTATTCTAAGTACATCATTCTTATATTTAATTACAGGGGAGATCAACTCTACGCTTTACTATACTAATGACGTACATAACTATATAATAGAAATTAAATTTAACAAACAAAAAAAATTAAAACTTATGTAAAATGGGAATGAGTGTGTATGAGTTGTCTTACTGCTGTTTTGAATATCCTAGATGTTGGGTCAAAAATATCCAAGTAGGAGTCTTTCATGGATATCTCGTTGTAAAGTCGACACATTCGTATTATCGGGTTGTAAACGAAGTATTATTCTTATAAGTCTGCAGTTAAAATGTCTTGATAGGAACTTTGTAATCAAGTTTAATTTACTTAAGAGGTAACCGGAATCGATCTCATTGTGGAGAATTTTATGTAAATGTATAAGGTCATATTCCTTACGGCGAATAAGTAAACAGGTCATTTTAAATTTGTCGAGTCTCTCACTACAACTGATAAGATTGCGAGCAAAACTAAGTATTGTGGACGCTTCTATACTAAAATGACACAACATATTAAAGAATGCTACGGACAATGCTATTATAAACGGGCAGGAAGCTTTGAGGCTGTTTGAAGCCTATAGTGTATCTCGTTATGAAACATAGCGCTCACGAAATGTCAATTTAGAGTCAAACAGCACACTTAGATCTTTAGCTACCGTTTTCCTGTCTAATGAATCTTCATTAATTTTATAGTCTGTTTATATCTCTTATTCGTTAACGTTGTTATAAAACATTTTTAACATCAAGTTTTTCAAGTCATCTGCATATAGAACGCAAGGACTTAACAGTTTACAAATCAGATCGTTTATACATATAATAAAAAATAACGGACCGAGATGTGAACACTGACGAACGCCGGATTTAACTATGACAGGTAATGACGTGAAACCATTGAGAGCAACAAATAGACTTCTATTATTGAGGTACGAATGAACCCAGCAACGTAGAGTTCTATGAATACCTGACATAGCTATTTTTTACAGAGTAAAGAATGATTTACTTTGTCGAAAGCTTTTGTATAATCAGTGTATACAGCGTCAACCTGCCCACCCACGGCGAAAACTTCACATAAGTAGTTTTTGTATTGCAACAAATTCGTCACTGTTGATCTTTCTCTCACGAAACCGTGCTGCTTGCTAGATATAAGCAGCTTAACTGGAGAATAAAAATGATCATTCAACGCAGATTCGAATACCTTAGCAACACAGCACAAAATGCTAATAGATCTATAATTTTCGCAGTTGACTTCTGGACTTCTGAATGGGTACGATGTGAGCCAATTTGCAAAGCACCAGACGTTAAGAATGTATTAAACAATAATGTTAGTGGTTTACACGGTTCCCTTGCACAATTTGAGAAAAATATGGGGGGAATTATGTCATACCCTGGGTCTATGCGAATATCTAATTTCTTTAATTTGTCCAATATTGTATCCTGACCTAGTTCTATATTACACATACTGTAATTACAATAACTATCAAAATTTACAACATCATTAGTAATCAAATGCTGGTTGATGACAAGTTGAGAAACTTCGAAAGCTAAACTGAATTAACGAAAAAAAAGTTCACATATTCTTTGCGTGTCAGAAGAAGATTCAGTACCAAGAGTCATAGTCTATGGCATACCCAAGCTACCTACTTTGCTGCTAATAAAATTCCAAAATATCTTTATGTTTTCCCATAAACTGTCTTCCATGGAAGTAATAAACGATACATACACCGATTCCATGAGTTTTTTTACATCTCGTGCGTAGCAATGCAAAATTTCCCTTAAGTTTTTTAAAATGACGAATTTTTTTTCTTTATACATTTATTAATCTAATATATCATGGCGGATATTTGTTATTGGTTTTACTTACAAGCGACATGTGTTTTGCAATTAACTTATTCCAGAGAGTGTAAAACTTATCGACAGCATCGTTTATATCCGGTTCATTTGATAAGCTAGACCAATTTACAGTTGCTAGATCCTCTTTTTATTCGGGGTTGCGCACGTTTCATTTTTTATTTGACAATTTTCCATTCAAACAATTTTCAGTGAGGGGTGATGAGAATATATTCGCGTAAAAGGCTCACTAGATGTTAGGAGCACTTTCTCTGTTGTTGATAAAACGAGATCAAGAAGAAGGTTATTCGCATTAGAGACTGAATTAAGTTGAACTAGTTTACTACAAAGGTTCATAATATCAACAAGACAATTAGAATTAAAGCCAGATCAAATAACAGGTTGTCATAACGTTACTTTAAGACAAACTAGGAGGCAAACTCAGATGTGGGGTGTTAAAATCGTCAATAAGTATCAATGCGTCTTTATACTCATCACGAGATATGTTTTTGTGAACATTGTTGTAAAAGACTAGCAAGTGGTCGCGAGAAATATCGGCGGGGGGGGGGGGGGAGATAACATAAACATAAGTCGACAGGAAACATACGGATAGTCATTCAAAGATCTTCAACTTTACATTCCATAAGGCTCAAAATGAGTGACTATAAGATTTTGAGGCTTATGTTATAGAATTGGATAGGAATCGGACCGCCAAACACAGGCATTATTTGCTTGAATGATGGGTTCCAAT